GATTTTTTTGCACCCTCAGATTCCAGATTTTCAAATAGTGTCCTATCCTAACAAACCATACATCAATGCAAAGCTTATTTATTCAGCTTTCAGATGATGCATAAATCTCAAATTCACAAAATTGACCCTTATGACTGGTTTTGTGCTCCAGGGTCACATATATAAGGCTTCTCACCGCGAGCGTCCAGGCCTTGGTCCATGATGCCGTGTTTGACCTTCATGTGGCGGGTCAGGTTTCCCTTCAGCGTGAACTTGCTGGCGCAGTAAAGGCATTTGAAGGGTTTGCTGTCAGAATGCAAGTGCATGTGGCCCATCAGATTATGCATTCTGTTAAACTCCTTTCCACACAGCTGTGAAGAGAGTAACTATTCAGAAATCTTTGACCTGGTCAAGCACTATCAAAGCTATATCAGACTCACAAATGAACAGAAGCTTGGGTAACACTTTATTTTAAGGTGTCCATGTTACACGTTACATGTACTTACAATATATTATATATAATATTATAATAACAATAAATAATGCATAATTACATGTAAGTAACCCTAAGGCAAATCCTAACCATATAGTAAGTACATGTAGTTAATTAATATTACTCAGTACTTAAATGTATAATTACACTGTAACAAGGACACCTTAAAATAAAGTGTAACCGAAGCGTGTCATAAAATAAAACAATAAAAAAAGGTAATTGCAACTTTGTCACAATTCTGACTTTTTTCTCACATTTCTAAGAAACAAAGTCAGAATAGTGAAATATAAACTCAAAACTGCAAAAAAAAAAAAAAAAGTCAAAATTGCCTAAGATAAAAAGTCGCAATTATAGTTATTTTTTTATTCTGCGACAGAAACAAAAAATCCGAAACTGAATTTTGGGATGTAAACTTAGATTTCTGAGACCAAACAAAAATAAAGTTAAAATAGAAATAAAGTTTATATCATATGTGACCCTGGAGCACAAAACGTCTTAAGTGTCAATTTTTTAAAATTGAGATTTATGCATCAGCTGAAAGCTGAATAAATAATCTTTCCATTGATGTATGGTTTGTTAGGATAGCACAATATTTGAAAATCTGGAATCTGAGGGTGCAAAAAAATCTAAATATTGAGAAAATCATCTTTAAAGTTGTTCAAATGAAGTTCTTAGCAATGCATATTACTAATCAAACATTAAGTTTTGATATATTTACGGTAGGAAATTGACTAAATATCTTCATGGAACATGATCTTTACTTAATATCCTAATGATTTTTGGCATAAAAGTAAAATCTATAATTTTGACCCATACAATGTATTGTTGGCTATTGCTACAAATATACCCCAGCGACTTAACACTGCTTTTGTGCTGCAGGGTCACATATCATATCATATTTCTACGTAGCAAAATCAGACTAATGGAGTGATTTGTTGTGATTGTATGAAAGCCTACAAAAACCTTTACCAAAGTGACTGAAGTGCAAGCCCCTCGTGGCATATATTTGAAAGCATTTGAAAGTGAGACTGAATCATGACAGTCGTGAGTTTCTCTCAGGAGAAAGGAGTCCTTCCTCTGCGCTCTTTTTTATTTATTAGGGTGGTTCTTTCCTTTCCTTCAGGAGGATAGAGGGACTGTAAACTGTCCAAACGGACCGTGAGAAAACAGGAAGGGCTCCTGAGCACAAGAGAAAGCGAGATGAAATCTATTTGTGGGGCCTGTTCTCGGGGGACGAGAGAGCCATTGTTACACAGTCAGTTTGTGCAGCGATATCCTTCCTATAGACGAGGAGACACTCAACGGCCAAAAACGTATCTGGTCATCGTTCGGACCGGCCCAAGGTCACACGCATTCCAAAACAACCAAGGGTTAGACGTATTTGCATGCTTATTACGCTTTACGTTCAGAATCAGAATTAGCTTTATTCGCCAAGTGTGTGCAAACACACAAGGAATTAGTTGTGGTTTTTTAGGAGCTCTTGGTACATGCTACGTTCAGAATCAGAATTAGCTTTATTCGCCAAGTGTGTGCAAATACACAAGGAATTAGTTGTGGTTTTTTAGGAGCTCTTGGTACATGCATACCAAATTCCTTCTAAGACAAGTCAAGTCACTCGGCGGCCATCTTTGAAACGCCTCTCGGGCATGCAAGTGCAACTCCTATCTCTTTGAATGGGGAAACATCAAATTCTCCAAAACTGTTCGCTAAGCTTACGATTAAATTTCATATTTGAAATCACCAAAGAAATCTGACAACAGCTGTGTCATAAATGTTGTTACTTTTGCTCAAATAGCGTTATAAAAAGCTTATTTTTCAGGCTAGATCAGCATGCTTAAGCGCACTGTTTCTATAGCCACCGGGCAGCTGCAGTGACGCTCTGACTTTACCGATTAGCGATTGGCTCTTTCAATCAGAAGGCGGGGCTTCCTGCGATTGAGCGGCCATACAGAGCGTTGCATTTTTCCCCATTCAAAACTATGCGAGTGACACGTCTTGGGTATTCTATAGTCTTTGATAATACATAATTCATAACTCTTGGTACATACATAATGCATAATTCAATGAAGAACTAAATGCACATCCCTCCCTCCACTTTGACCCATCCATTCATAGAATTAGCTTTGCATTATAATACCCAACTTTGGTTCTAGTTATTCAATTAACAGGGTTTCTGCAGGTCAAAACTTAATTCACATTTTTACTAATTAAGGCCTTAAATCAGAGCAGAATGTCTTACATTTTAAAGTCATGGCATTAAATGTTGCATGCAATGCAAAGAAAAAAATCTCAGTATGTTAGTCTTGTTTTCTAGTACAAATATCTAAACATCCTTAAATCAAGATGCATTTACTGGAGATGCAAAATGAAGATATGAAGTCTTGTTGGAGTTAGTTTATGCTCAAAACAAGAACAAATATCTGTCAATGAAATTTCCCTTTGAATTAAGTAGATTTTTCTGACTCCATTGGCAGATATTTCTTCTTGTTTTATCAAAAACTCACTTCATTTTGATCAGTTTCTCAGAAAACAAGACTTATTCTTATCTTAAGTCATTTTGCTTCTCCAGTAAATGGGTCTTGATTTAAGAATCTTTGGACATTTTCAATGTAAAGCAGGACAAAAATAATTAAATTGTTTTTTCAAATATCCAAACATCCTTAAATCAAGCTGGAGATGCAAAATGAAGATGTGAGAAATTGAATAAATGAAGTGAGTTTATGATTAAAACAAACAGATATCCGCCACAGAGGATTGAAAACGTGTTTTCTGACTCCACTGACAGATGTTTATTCTTGATTTAAGCATAAACTCGCAGCATTTTTATCAGTTTATCAAAACGTATTTTGTTTCTCAAGTAAAGTAAGTCTTGATTTAAGGATCTTTAGACATTTGCACTGGAAAACAAGACAAAACTACTGGGGAAGAACAGCACTTCTTTGCAGCGTGTTCAGTTGTTACGGATTTATTATTGTATATTTTTTGGAAAATTATTTAAAAAGTAATGGAGATCTGTTGGAAGTCGTACTGTATTTTCAAAATTTGAAGCATTTGAGGAAATTATATTGACATATATGCACAAAACCAGTCATAATTTTCAATTTTTTGAAATTGAGATTTATGCATCATCTGAAAGCCATCTTTCCATTGATGTATGGTTTGTTAGGAGATACAACTATTTGAAAATCTGGAATCTGAGTGTGCAAAAAAATCTAAATATTGAGAAAATCATCTTTAAAGTTGTCCAAATGAAGTTCTTAGCAATGCATATTACTGTGTATTGATATATTTACAGTAGGAAATTTACTAAATATCTTCATGGAACATGATCTTATACTTAAAGCTGCAGTCCGTAACTTTTTCTGGTTAAAAATGATCCGAAATCAATATTTGAGCAAGTACATAACCAGCCAGTGTTCGAAACTATCGCCTTACTTTAGCCCGATTCACAACGGTCAGCTTATAATAATGTTTATAATGCTTATACATTTAATCAGTTCATGCATTCCCTGGGAATCGAACCCATGACCTTGGTGTTGCGAGCGGCATGATTAAAGTGTTTGAGCTACAGGAATACTGGACGAAGCTCTTGTAGCACAGCTGGCACTGATACGCTCGGATGTTGGTGTGAATCAGAACGTGCCGCTTCATGTTAGCCAGCAGCGTGAACTCACGGCCACAGATGCGACACTTGTGCTCCTTCACTCCCTAAAAAGATGTGCATGAACAGTCCATGAGGAACCCCACGAGATTGCATTTAGCAGACGCTTTTATCCAACGTGACTTAGATTGCATTTAAAGTTCCGTGGTTTACAGTGAATTTATAACAGCTAAGGGGCGTTGTTAGACCCCCTAAATCCCCCTCAGCTGTTATAAATTCACTGTAAACCACGGCTTCACGAGGCTTATCGCTTTTATAAAACGTATATTCCATATACGTAGTAAGGTTTCACAAAATAAAACAGAGCAAATAAAGTGTAATGATATTAATAAAAACAGTATTCTTCCACCAAACAATGTAGCTCCTCAGAATCAGGTGTGGTTGTAACAAAGTGGTTGCCGAGCAACACACAAATGTAAACAAAGGTGTATGTTACTTTGTAGAGTCAATTACAACAGTTTTGAACGTGGCTCAGCCAATCAGAATCAAGCACCGGAACTCTCCGCTTTATAACTAGGTTTATATACTGTAAATGTGTGCTTCTCAATTGGTTTTGCTTCCATATTTTATCAAGTAATGACATATTCTTATCTTACAAGATGTAAAAAAAATATTCTTTATATCAAACCATGAAATTGGCTTATTTATTGGTCTCTTGAATTTGGATGGTTTTTATGTGCTTGATGGCCAATAATTCATATTCACAAATCATTTTTATCCTCATATTTAATGCTTCCTGGGTTGTGTTTTCTTGTATATTGGATGAGGGCATCACAACCTGTTTATGTATCATCGGTCTATTTTGACTAGACATCTACTGTACCATGTGACTTTGAATTCGACTTAGATTGATGCCTGACCTTTGACATTAGCAACAGGAGAAATGGGAAGTGTTTTCTTCCTTTTCAAAGTAAGTCTCCATTTACTAATTTATGGTTAGTTGCATTGATGTGTTTTCACTGCTGTTTATGTGTTGAAAACCTCTGATGTAAACTCTTCACATCCTCAGTATTTTTTGTCTTGTTTTCCAGTCCAAATATCTAAACATTCATAAATCAAGATACATTTACATTTACGCATTTAGCAGATGCTTTTATCCAAAGTGACTTACAAAAGACGAGCAAAAGCCATTCATCAACAGTCGTAATATACAATGCCAAGTTTATTAGACTTTATTAGTTTTTTTACTTGAGAAGCAACATGGAATAAGAAATCTTGTTTTCTAAAAAACTGATCAAAATGAATTGAGTTTATGATTAAAACAAGAATAAATATCAGATTTTTGAAAACACAATATTTTAAGTAATTTGCCTTTTCAAATAAATGCATGTTGATTTAAGAATGTTTAGATATTTGTACTGGAAAATGAGACACAAATACTTATGGACATTTATTTTTGCAGTGTACACTCTAAAAAATGCTGCGTTAAATATAACCCAGCGCTGGGTTATAATTTTGTTGCGCTTTTGCCATTTTTATTAGTTTTTGTTCTTTTTGAATATTAAAGACTGAAGTTGTGTTTTGTACAGTAAAAATCTTCAGAAAATATGTTTTTTTGTGTAGTTTTTATTTTTTATGTTTTCCATTCTCATTTTAATTTTAGTTAACGTTTTAGTAATTTTGTTGCGCTTTTGCCATTTTTTATTAGTTTTTGTTCTTTTTGAATATTAAAGACTAAAGTTGTATTTTCTACAGTAATAATCTTCAAAAAATATTGTTTAGCGTAGTTTTTATTTTTACATTTTCCATTCTCGTATTAATTTAAGTTAATTTAAGTTTTAGTAATTTTGTTGTGTTTTTGCCATTTTTATTAGTTTTTTTTCTTTTTACATACATAAAAAACTAAAGTTGTATTTTCTACAGTAATAATCTTCAAAAAATATTGTTTAGCATAGTTTTTATTTTTACATTTTCCATTCCCGTATTAATTTAAGTCAATTTAAGTTTTAGTAATTTTGTTGTGTTTTTACCGTTTTTATTAGTTTTTTTCTTTTTACATATATAAAAAACTAAAGTTGCATTTTCTACAGTAATAATCTTCAAAAAATATTGTTTAGCGTAGTTCTTATTTTTACATTTTCCATTCTCGTATTAATTTAAGTTAATTTAAGTTTTAGTAATTTTGTTGTGTTTTTGCCGTTTTTATTACTTTTTGTTCTTTTTACATATTAAAGACTGAAATTTAATTTTGCATTTTTCCACAGCATACGTCACAGTCCCGCCGTCCTCTCACCTTGTGCGTGAGCGCGTGCTGCTTGAGATGGTGCGACTGGACGAACTCCATCCCGCACTCGCTGCAGATGAACGGCCTGATGTCCTTGTGCTTCATCATGTGGTTCTGCAGCTGGCTGGGATACTGGAAGCTCTTGCCGCATTCGCCGCAGTCATACTGCATGGGGCCGCGGTGCGCCGTCAGGTGGCGCTTGAGCTGCGCCAGCGTGGGGAAGTCGAGTCCGCACTCCACGCACACGTTCTCCTGGCCTCTCTCGTGCTTGAGCTCATGTGCGCGGAGCTCGCTGGGATACGCGAAGCCCCGGCCGCAGACGCCGCAGCTGTAGGGCTTGACGTCGCTGTGCTGCATCATGTGTCTCTTCAGGTGGCTGGTCTGCGTGAAGGCTTTGTGGCACACCTGTAGGCAGGGTTGGGCAAATATACATCAAAATGTATTTTAAAATAAAATACCAAATACCTTATTAACTCTTTCCCCGCCAGCGTTTTTGAAAAAAGTTTTTTTTTTGCTGATTTTCGCTAAAATTTCAAGGCCCCCAGAATATATTGTTGTATGAATATCTGAACATGCAATAGGCTACATCAAAATAAAGATCACATTATGTTGCCATATTCAAATAAAGATTTTAAAATAAAAATGTTGCCACATTCAAATATTTTAAAATGCAGATAAGTGCCACTAATTAAGTACATGTTCAGCTAATTGTCAGCCTGTGTGCTTCTCATAATTAGTGGATATGCATCTAAACAGCCTTTTAATTAACAGAGCAGAATAATCATGGCTGATAGTAAGACATGCAAACGTAAAAGAAAACCAAACAGCTGTTACTTCTTGCCCAGCTGGTTAATGAAAACAAGGATATAATTTAGAGTCGGGATAACCTCCAAAACCAAAGCTGATACCTTTATTAAAGCTCATTATCAAATGTTTCTAAAATGTTAGATTGCCGGAAACAGCTATTTTAGGAGAGTTTGTGGTTTAGGACTCTCTTCACTGAAAAAAAAAGCAACATTTTGAGCAAAAAGCTGAGAAAATTGCATTTTTATCAAATACTACATCTGGATCATATTCAGTAATATTATCAAAGCAAAGATGCAGCAGATGGCTTCCATCAGTACTCCCAAAGCTTGCACAGGCCTTTAACACTTTCTGGATTGACATTTCACTCGCTAACATTCGGCAGTTTTCATTTATATGCGGTTAGTGTTGATGAATGCATTACTTTTCATATGCATATGCACAAGGGCATAGTTTTGGTGTGAACTGTTTTAGAGTCCCGCGTCATGCTCACTCATAAGGTTTATTTATTTGTTTGTTTGCTTATAAATATATTACAAATACAATAAAGTATACTTTTTTTTCACTAGGGATAAGCCTATGAATCATTACCAGGCAAATATTTAACTTTTTTAAATTAATCAATATAGCATTTGTTATGAAGAAACAACCGCCTGCACATTTAGAAGCAATAGCTACAAAATCTATTCTCTTAATAGATTATCTCATATAAATTCTACAAGTTAGACAATGTTACACAATAAATAAGCCTACAATAAAACGTGATAAAGTCATGAGTAGTTTAAAAAGATTTTAATATAAGTTAGTGCTGGTTCAAGACTGTTTTCTCCTCTTTTCATTAGTCTTTTTAGTTTATTTGCCTTTTTTAGATACTGTTCGACTTTCTCCATAGCATTTTAAAGTGGCTGTTTCTCAAAATAATTCAAATAGATCACATATTTGACCATCAGCTTCGCGATAGGAATGGCTCGCGCAAATC